ACACTGGGTAGACGGAGTGGTCCATCCAGGCGGCGGCGTCTGGCGTCTGTCGTCCGGTGGGAGCTTCGGCCCGGCTCCTGGAGATCCAAGACCCCCAGCCCCAGCCCCACCAGCCCACGTCCCCTCTCTGCTCTCGGCTCCCCTTCTGCCTCCTTTGACGTGGCAGGGGTGAGCAGGCGCTGTGGCTGGGAGGGAGGGGCCTGGGGAGGGGGCCGGCCAGCAGGAAGGGAGGGGTGGGGGGAGGCGGCCACTCCTGCCTAGTGTCCAACCCCAGAGCTCAGGGCTGTGGCGGCGGGGCCTCCCTCGAATGCTTCCAGATGTTCCCTGGCCTCATGTGCAACTTCCTCCTCTCCTCCCCCAGCCGCCCTCTGGGGCTCCGGGCCGCCGGGCCACTCGCCTGGCATAAAGAGGGCTTTATGTGGCTGGACAGGCCAGGCGGGTGCAGGGGCAGAGCGAGGTGGGCAGGATGAGGCCAGGACAGGGAGCAAGGTTCTCCTGAGCCCAGCCCCCACCTGAGATCGTGGCTGAGGCCCCTGCCCAAGTCCCGAGTCCCCAACACCCACACAGACCTCCTCCCCCTCCCCAGCGTGGGTCCTGTGGCGGTGGGTGGGCAAGTGGGTTACACACAGCAGAGACCGCTCCTCCCAGAGCCCCATCCTGGACTCCCCCCTCCAGAAATCTCTGGGCCCCTCCCCTTAACACAGCATCCCCCAGACATGTCAGCCCCCACCAGACTCACACACATGTGCACATGGGCCTGGCACTCACATGCCCATCCACGGATACGCGTAACTCCTCCCAGACGACTACAGATAAACTAGGCACGTCCAGCCCGTTACACAAGCTGTGTGCACAGGAACACATGAACGCACACCCGTGTCCTACAGTCACGTTCATGCCAACACATAGACATTGACACTTGCCACACACATCTATGTAAATGTGCACACATCCTCACGGGCACACACACATGCTCACATGGACACACGGCTGTGCTGGGCACCTCCTCAGACACTCAGCTCTGCAGCGCAGGCTCATGGGCACGCCCACGGTGGCGAGAGGAGATGTGTGTGCACAGACTCGCCATCTCCAGCCTGCGCTGTGTGCTGATTGCTAACACATGGGCGTCTGCGGGGAGGGGGCTGAGCCAGCCCTTTGAAGCCGAGGGGCTGGTGGCCCCCCTTCCTGTCTCTACAGTCAGGAAATGAAGTCAGAGGCTTATCCAAAGCAGGCCCAGCAGCCAGGCCAGGGGCGAAAGAGGCTCCAGGGTGGGGGTGGAGGGTAGGGTGTGTGTGTGTGGGGGGGTGTCCCTGGCTGGGGCTGGCCTGGCCTGCCTCCAGGGCTTTCTTGGGGAGGGATTTGGGAGCCACCCTCAGCCTTGCCACCCTGGGCGCTTGGGCTCTGGCAGGTATGCAGAGGTGGTGGGCATGGCTTGAATGCCATTAGGAGCAGGGCTGCCAGCAAGCCCAGGGCACTTGAGTCAGACAGCACCTGTGCGGTGTGAGGGGGCTGGAGCCAGAAGCCAGGGCCACTCTGAGGGCCCCCGGCCCCAGGCACCCCCAGCGTAGAGCTGTCTTAGGGAGTGAGGCGTAGCAGAGAGGGTGCCAACCTCACCCCTGGCTCCCCCCGCAGGAGAAAGAGAAGAAGTACATGCTGTCCGTGGACAACCTGAAGCTGCGGGACGTGGAGAAGGGCTTCATGTCGAGCAAGCATATCTTCGCCCTCTTTAACACGGAGCAGAGGTGCCTGCCTGCGCCCCACCAGGGCTGCGGGGCCCCGGGCCCTGCAAGCCCCAAACCACCCCCACTGAGGAGAAGCGGGGTCCACAGATACAAAGAGGAGAGGGACCTGCCCCAAGCCCCACAGCCAGTCATTCATTTGACAAATATTGATGGAGCCCCTACTCTGTGCTGGGCATTTTGTCAAGATCTTCCCACCCGCCACCCCCTCCTCTCTCCCCTCCTCCCTTCCTCTCCCCCTCCTCCCCCTGTCCTCACACGCTCACTCTGTCCGCTCTGTCCGTGCCTGTTCTGCATAAGACACTCTGCTAGGCACTGGGACAAAAGGGATTCCCAGTCATGCCTTCTCATGTTGGTAAGTGTTCCGGCCTCTCACCTCCTAACCCAGGGCTCATTCTAATGAGCTCGGTCCTACTCGGAGACAAGGGCTCAGTACAGCTGCCATCGGGGAGTCCCGAGAGTCGGAGAGGGAGCCAGTGGGGCTGAGACCCACAGGAGGGGCTGCGCTGTCACCGATGTCCTTTAGGGAGGCTCGGTCCCTTTCTAACTGAACATATCAGCGCTCATTTCACTGAACCCTCGCGTTACCCCAGGAGGCAGGAATTGTTCACCTGCCTTCCAGGTGAGGAAACTGAGGCTTGGAGAGAGGAAGGGACTTGCCAGGGTCACCAGCTGGGAAACGAGGAAGCCAGGACTGGGCCCAGGCGTGAGGACCCCAGCCCCTGCAAGCCCCGAACCGCCGGGGTGAATGGGCCTCGCCCGTGCCCTCACCGCCCGCCCCATCTTGCAGGAATGTCTACAAAGACTATCGGCAGCTGGAACTGGCCTGTGAGACACAGGAGGAGGTGGATAGCTGGAAGGCCTCCTTCCTGAGGGCTGGCGTGTACCCCGAGCGTGTTGGGGTGAGTGGCAGGGCGGGGAGGGGAGGGGAGGGGCAAGCTGCTTATAATGGGGAGTCTGGGGCCCCATCCTCAGTGACGCCATGTTCCCGAGCCCTCGCTGAGCTAAAACATAACAGGCATCCCTCCGCCGCCTGCCGCCCTCCTCCAACGGCGGGTTTGTGTGTCCCCTCCTCGGCCACAGTCCTGCATCCCCGTCACGTGGTAGTGGTTTCTTGTGACTGCCTTCCCTTCCCCCCTCTTTCACTGTGGCAGTGTCTCCAGTTGCCTTAGAGTTGGGGTACAGTGCCCTGGGCTCACTCAGTCCTTCCCCCTTTCCTCTGTGTGTCTGTCTCGGCTGTGCTCGCTGGCGGTGGCCATGCTGGTGTGGTGACCTCTGTGGTTTTGGTGTGGGCCTCCCAGGACAAGGAGAAAGTGAGTGTGCCCCTCCCTCCCCTTCTGCCACGACCTCTGGCCAGGTCTTTAGAATCACCAAGGGACCTTAGAGATGTCCTTTCCCAGTTTATGGACTGGGAAACGGAGGCAAATTCCAAGCTCTAGAGTCAGAGAGATAAGGTTAAACGAGGGTCTGGGGTCCTGAGGGGCTTTGGGATGGGCGGAGCCCAGAGACCCAGAGCATGTGGGGGAGCTAGTAGTGTCCATGTGTCCAGGCCAATTGCTTCTCTCTGTGCCTCAGTGTTCCAGGTACCACTGGAGGGGAGGGGCTGAGACCTTGGGGAACCTGGAACCTGGCTTTGAGGGTCCAGCCACCCTGATGCCCTCTGTTCCCAATGGTAGGCCAACGAGACGGAGGAGAATGGCTCAGACAACTTCATGCACTCCATGGACCCCCAGCTGGAGCGGCAGGTGGAGACCATCCGGAACCTGGTGGACTCGTACATGGCCATCGTCAACAAGACCGTGCGCGACCTGATGCCTAAGACCATCATGCACCTCATGATTAACAATGTGGGTGCACCACCCCCCGTGGGGGGCGGGTGCTCTTGTGAGGCCAGGGAGGCGGGCAGCCAGGTTGGCCTGGAGGGAGGGTTAGGTCCACACCAGAACCATGTAGAAAACCATATAATGTGATTCACATACCTAAGTTGTTCCAAACATGCTTGAAAGCTTTTCAGGAGGGGCTAGGAATCTGCATCTTTTGAGAACACCCAGATCATGTTTTAAAATACACACTCTATAGAACCACTACCACCTGTGGCTCAGTGAAAAAGTGTAGACCCTGGAGAATTAGAACTGTGTTTGAATCCTGCCACAGATTTGCTGTGTGACTTTGAGCAATTGAACTACCCTCTCTGAGCCTGTTTCTTTATATGTAAAACTAGAGGCCCAGTGCATGAATTCGTGCATGGGTAGGGGCCGATCTGGCCCGGGTGCGGGAGTTTGGTCGAACTCCCGGTGGAACTCCGGGTCGAGGGGACAATTTGCATATTAGCTTTTTATTATATAGGATATGGATAATAATAGAGTTGAGGAGTAAATTAATATAAAGTGCATAGCAACTCAGTGCCTGGCATGTAGGAGCTGTTCAACATATATTTGAATAACAAGACACAGGCCTATGGTGTAAAAAAGCTCAGCATCTCTCCATGAATATCCCAGAGCCTAGGCAGTACCCTTCCCCTACACACCGAGGCTCACCTCTCCCCCAATCCAAGCACATTTATACCTGTTACTCCAGGGCTCAGAAAATTTAAAACTATCTTCCTTATTTTGGTCCAGTGGAGCATGAAAGTCCTTGGAAAGGATTTAACCAGCACATTTTACAGATGAGGAAAGTGGGACTGAAAAGTGCTGTGTAAGGGTCTTCCTAGATGTATGATGGTCCCCGAGTGTCCCCCCAGATCTGTGATCTTGAACAGGCCACTTTTCCTCTCTGGATCATCTGTGAAAAGGGCAAGGGACCAGGGCTCGGGGGCGGGGGTGTCTGGGGAGATCTCAGAGTTTAGGCAGAGCCCTCCACCCCAAAACTTCCAGTCCAGGACACGGTCCTAGCAGGGCCCCACCCCTCTCCTCTCTTCGCCCGCCTGCACACAGACCAAGGAATTCATCTTCTCGGAGCTGTTGGCCAACCTGTACTCGTGCGGGGACCAGAACACACTGATGGAGGAGTCAGCCGAGCAAGCTCAGCGGCGGGATGAGATGCTGCGCATGTACCACGCACTGAAGGAGGCGCTCAGCATCATCGGCGACATCAACACGACCACTGTCAGCACGCCCATGCCGCCGCCCGTGGACGACTCCTGGCTGCAGGTGCAGAGTGTACCGGCTGGACGCAGGTACCAGGGCCGGCCCCCACGGCCCCAAAGCCCCCCAGCCCGGGGCCCGCGGGAGGAGGGCCGGGACCGGGCAGTGGCCCGCCCGCGTCACCGGGGCGGCTCCCACTGGACGCGAGGGGCGGGTCTTAGAGAGGGAGGGGCTTGTCCCGGGCGGG